CGCCGGTCTCGCGACTCCGAGATTTCTTCCTGAGACCCCAGAAGCAGCCTTCAATTTGGGCCCCAAGGAACACGAATGGAGGCGGGGTCCTATTGATGCCGTCTTTTCCATGTCTTTTAACGTCTTCGCTCCATGCCTCTGTCTTTTCCAATTCTTCTCCTTCCTCCAGTCCTCTCTTCGACATTTCAATACTTTCACTTCTCCTTCATCTCCCTGATTCTCCTCTCGCTTTCATTTTTCCTGCTTCCTCTCCAGCTTTTATCCATCTCTCCGTCCTTCTCGGCCCCCCCTGAGACCTTCTAAATTCCTTTCCTCTCGAGCGTCCACGATCCCTTTTTTGTGCTTTCTGACCTATTCAAATAAAACTCTAAATTCTAAGTTATTATAACAAATCGCCCGAGTAGATAAAAAAATTTAGGTCGCTCTTAAGAAAAACTAACGTAATGTGGCAAAGATTCTTGTTGTGCACCTAATTTGAGAAATTGATTGGAGCCGGCAGGGACTCCAAGTTTGTGCTTCTTTCAAGCGTTCTTACAGGAACAAATTAGCCAACGTCCTCTTCGTTCCTATTCTCTATCCGCGAGACTCAAGCAAGTAGCACGCAGTTTCTTATTTTTCTTCGACTTCCACGTCTTCTCGAAGACTTCCTGACTGACAATGAAATTCAATTCATTCAAGTGCAAAACTTAAAGTACTGACAGCGTGGGTCGCCGATAGATGAGAAATAAACAGCTACATGTGGGAAACGAGAATGAGGATAAATGGGGTAGAGAGAGAGAGAAAGAGAGAGAGAGAGAGAGAGAGAGAGAGAGAGCGCACGTGTTTTACCCATTGCCAGGGTAAAAGCTTGCCGAGGTTGAATGCTGCAATGCTGCGCAGCTTCCGATATTCAGCGGAGGCTCTCTCCTGTATGCCGGAAAAATAAAAGCAGAAAATAGTAATAATTTCACGGTGACATTTCGCAGAGAGAAAAAAAATATTAGCTCTCAGCCGCAGAGACTCCTGGCTCGGACAACCGCGCGACCGGCGGAGTCGCTTGCTTTATTAATTATTAAAACAGACTATAAAATTATTTGATACCAGTCGCCGCTGGCCATGTATGAATTTCGCCTGTTGCATTATTCAGCGAAAGTTTGCATAACAATTATGACTGGATTTTAGCATAAACTCCTCGAGTCGCAAAGAAAAGTGCAGGAAAATTGAGTGCTCGTCAAGTGATAAGCTCCGAGCGATTAGTATATGCATGTGGGAGAGTCCACCGTGATTTCTTTTTCTCCGTCGCTGCTCCTTCTTCTCTTTCGCTCTTTCGCCATTAATTTTGGTAAATCCTAGATTAATCTGGCGTGGTGATCGTTCGGTGCGTCACCAGACGACTGTCGGTTCTCTGACAAGTTTTAATTACGTGTCGCATTGAAACAGGCACAATGTAAGAGCACACTGGCGCTACGCTACGCGGAGCTTTAATTAACCAGCTTGTGACAGCTGCGAGGATTTCGCCCAATGTCGCCTGTCGACTGCTGCTGGCTATCCTGGCTATCCTGGCTATCCTGGCTACCACTTCCTTTCGTTCAGACTCCGGGCAATCGAAGCGCCGGCTTCGATCGATTCTGCTTTCTTCCCCTCGAGCCTCGTGCTTGCAATCGCAAGCAACTTTGAGCTATGCGTTAAACGCATAATTGGTTGATCGCAATCGAAATAGGAGAAAACTGATAAGTGCCAATCGATGAATCGCTCGATCGATTTTCGTCTCCATCCGCGAGGAGCCTAGAGAACTTGCCATTAAATTTGCCGAGACACGACGAGATTCGTAAGAGAAGAACGAAAAGCTGATGGACCGAGGCTCGTGGATCTATGAGTCGTCGCAAGTGAGGTTGGCAAAAGAGCGGAGGGCTGACAGGGCTGACAGGGCCGATAGGTATAAGGGGTGGGTTGCTGGTGCTCTCAATTTTATGGGATCATTATTAACATGGGTTTCAGGCTGGCCAAGAAGAGCGGACCGGCCTGTAAATCTAAGCCCGCGGAGCCGCAATAAACTCGAATATCACGAACCCTCATGACTCTCATGAGGTACCATCTCTGGGAGGCTGCGATCTGCACGAGCTACGACCTCTTGGAGTCAGATGGAGCCTCACGGGGAAATTGTTTATCTGCTTGAGGTCTTTATGGCAACTAAATTACGGAGGGCCAATGTTTGCTAAATAGCCGCTGCGCGATATACCTTCGAGCTACCAAAATTAAGGGTTTCCAGAAAGCCACGTTGCGCGAGATTCAATGGAACCGAGCAGCAATCGCTCGAATCTCGACCTGCGATTCCTCAATTCAGCTTCCAGCAAATCTCTCGGTGCGGTGAAATGTTATCACACGTCGTCGGGAAGATTCTGGAGCAGCCCAGAGCGATCATCCGTGACACTCTATTTACCTACGCTTCACGAACGACCGATAAGGCCCCTCCGTCTCGAGGTTCGTTAAACTCTACCAACGACTATAGCCTTTATCCTCACCAGAACGTTTGCAAATTCCATAGATTCACTGATGGTTATGGCTTAGCAGTTTTCCTCTTAAAAGAAATCCTTGAGGATCGCCGATAATTCTCGGAGACTGCCGACTGCTTTCCCTGATGCGCCGAAAGTTTCTAACGAACAGGAATGAGCTCTCTGGTATCTTTCGATCTCTCACTTAAGCTTCATTCTCGTTGTCGTTTCCATTTAACTAATTATCATGATTCTGAATCTACGGAGGACAGAGCTG